ATCCCACACCTCTGACCACCAGTGCCCGGAGCCCAGCCTGGCCACCTTCTGGAGGCCTGGGCCCCATCTCTGCGGCTCTGCAGGGGCCGGGGGCTTGTGCGCAGCACTGGTCCCAGTGTGGCCGGGATACAGGATGAAGGACGACCTTCCCCGGCGTCGCTGCATCTCTGCAGGAGGCAGGGCTCCGCGCGGTGGTTCTCCGGTGTCCTTTCTCTCAGCAGAGGGATGGAGGGGCCACTCGCAGACTTCTCTTCAGCAGTTGTGCGCCCCCCCCCCCCCCACTGTGTCCGTCTCCTGGAGCACTGTCCTCAGCACGAAGGACAGGAAGGCTGCCTGCCAGGGCCCCTGCCTCCTGCCCAGAGTATGGAGCGTCCTCGTTGCACTTTTTGGCACTCAGCTTGCCAGACTCGGCCGTGGCAGGCGCTTCTGAGCCCGGCGCTGTGCTTCCCGAGGGGACCCGGCCCATCATCAGCTCTGTCTTGCTCTCCGGATTCAGTGGAGTCCCAGACTCATCTCGTGTCCCTCCTGCCCTGGACCAGGAACCCACCTTTTCTCCAAGAGTTCTCGGGCTCCTTTTACTGGGGAGCCGTATTTACAGAACAAGATGTGCGGGTTATGTGAACTCAGGCGACTGGGCTTTTTTGTTCCTTAGGGAGCAAGTTAACACTCAGGGAGGGTGGGTAGTGTGCTTTCACGGGGGTATTCCCAGCCTCGATGTGATGTCCTGTCCTGTCCTCTCCTCTCTCCTCCCCTCCCATCCCCTCCCATCCTTCTTCTAGTAAGCCTCATGTCTAGCATGGAGCCCAGTGCAGGGCTTGAACTCACAACCTTGAGATCAAGACCCGAGCTGAGGTCAAGAGTCGGATGCTTCACCGACGGAGCCATTCAGGTGCCTCAATGGACTTTTTAGGTTACACTTGTATTTCTCATACTTCAAATCCCTGCTCCTGATAAATTAACGTAATTACATTTTCGCTTCGCCCTGTGGCTTTGTTGTTAATCGGGTGTAAGCGTATCTTTACCTTGACGTGTTCATATTCGTGTCAGAGTGTGCTCTCCCCGTCTTGTATGATTTAACTGTGTTTGGGAACGTGCAGGACGTTCGTAGGTTTCAAAAGCGAAAACTCCCCAACATGGGACATTCGCGATGACCCTCCTCACCCCCTCCCCTTTGCCCCACGCCCCCACATAGCGCAGGTGGCTATTTTATGGAAGTCAGCCCGTTCCAGCTAGAGCTCTGTACCCCACTTTCCACTCTTCCAGCTTCCTGTGAAATAAACCGCCACAAACTCAGTGTTGACAACAGTGTTCGTTTATGCCCGGGCGGTTCTGTGCGGAGAAGGCTGACACGGTCCCACCGGGCCACGTGAAGGTGTCAGCAGGGCTGTGTCCCTTCCAGAGGCTGCAGGTGCTCAACAGAACACTGGTGAACAACACGTGACCCAAGAAAACGTTTGTAACAGGAGCAAAAAACATCCCTAAACAAAAATGGAAACACAACAGGGCAAGACCTATGGGCTGTTGCAAGAGCACTTCTGAGAGGGAAGTTTATAGTCATGGATGCATATATTAAGAAATTGGAGGGGCGCCTGGGTGGCGCAGTCGGTTAAGCGTCCGACTTCAGCCAGGTCACGATCTCGCGGTCCCTGAGTTCGAGCCCCGCGTCAGGCTCTGGGCTGATGGCTCGAGCCTGGAGCCTGTTTCCGATTCTGTGTCTCCCTCTCTCTCTGCTCCTCCCCCGTTCATGCTCTGTCTCTCTCTGTCCCAAAAATAAATAAAAAAAAAAAAACGTTGAAAAAAAAAAAAAAATTTAAAAAAAAAAAAAGAAATTGGAAAGATGTCAAATAAACAACCCAACCTCAAACCTAGAAGGATAAAAAAAAAAATAAATGAATCCCAAAGTTAGCAGAAGGAAGGAAATAGAGATGGGAGTAGAAATAAATGTAAGAGGGAAAGAAAAAAAGAAAGAAAAAAGAAAAGATCAAGGAAACTGAGTTTGTTACTTGAAAAGAGAAACCAAATTGACAAACTTTGTTAGACCACCTAAAGGGGGAAAAAAAGAGAGAAAATTCAATTTATCGCAATGAGAGGCAAGGCAAACAGATCTATCGGGACCGACGCTCTCGACCAGAGTGCGGCCTCGAACAGCCGGGGTACAGAGTTTTTATAGCCGACCACATCGTCTTATTATCACCTGGGAACAGAACAAAGGAATAGTTCCCAGGTGGAAACAGTTCAAACAGGCCCTTGCCCCAATCCGATGAAACACTAATCACATCCCTTGATTGACAGGCTAAGGCTGTTATCTCTTAACCTATAGTGTTAAAACTAAGCTGTTATTTCTTAAGGCTACAGGTTAGCCCTACACTACAATTTAACCCTTCCAGAATCTATCATCGAAAAC